TAGTATTACTGTTGTAATGACTGTGTTCATTGAATTACTTTGGTACATGGCATGTATGCAGTTCGTGAGTCTAAGCATACTAGTCTCTTCTGCCCGGGAGTGAAGTTTCATATGGTAGTTTGAGTGACAAACATCTCAGAGCTTGCTCACATTCCTCTGTGGAATAGTCACTTTTGAGAGAAAGAGGTGTGGCTTCGTGGTCTGAGAACAGGACTGTCAGCCAGGAACACAGAGTTCTCATCCTGGAACTATTTCTGTTTTCTTTATGGATCAGATCATGCTAATAAATCTTTCTAGGACTCAGTTTACCCAGTTAAAAAAGCTGGTTAGGAAAATAATTAATAGGGATATACTGAGTATTAATAAATGGGTATCTGTTAAATGATTTGAAAAGTGGTATGAATGTAAGTAGGGACTTTTTTTTATGAACTAATTTATGAAACAAGTAAATAATAGAAAAATTTTGTCCTTTGTAAAAATTACCCCAAAACAAGAAAATTACTTTTAATGAATTTTAATGTTTAAATAGTTCATTTTAATTTTTCTAAATAAGTATTTTCTACTCTAAATGTTTTTCTCTCTTTTTTTTTTTTTTAAAGATTTTATTTTCAAGGAATCCCTACACCCAGTGTGGGGCTAGAACTCACAACCCTGAGATCAAGAGTCTCCTGCTCCACTGAAAGAGCCAGCCAGGTGCCCCTAAATGTTTTTCTTTTTAAAGTTAACATGCTAAGTATTGTATGTGATGTAAATAATTAAATTCACCATTAGTTTCTATTTAAATGTAAAGAAGTAGTTCCTTTGTTCTATATAGCAAAGGGAAATCTTTTCTGAAGTTCCATGCACTATAAGAATATGGATGTTATTAAAGTTTTACAGAAAAAATTAAGATCAAAGAAATGTATAGTCAATCTAGAGCTTTAGCAGGGTGGTATAACAAACTGCCTGTTTTAAATTGATAAAGACTTCTTCTAAGAATAAGATGCAGGTTCCAAAAAGACAAAATTGTGCATATGTATACAAACAAAACCAAGGCAGGGGGAGAAAGACCTAATGAATGAGTAATTGTGGCGTTCTGTATCTGAAAGAATAAGATAAAAAGGAAAAGAAATCAACTTCAAATGCAAATGTTTCATTCTGGTGGCTAGTCAGCATTCCCCTACCCTAAATCCAGCCTCCCAAAATTAATCAGCCTTATGCGTGAGGTTAAAAAACAAAACAAAACAGTACCTTCTAAAAAAATATATTGTGGTTCTTTACAAGAAGATTTAAATCTCCTATCTTCCCCTTTCTTAAAAATGAAAACAAACAAAACAATGGATCTTCAGTTCTGTGTCTGGGATCTCAAATTTGGCTGTGAATATGTGTTTCAAATCTCATTAATTACAATATTGGCCCCATGAGATACAGTTGCTGATGCAAAGAACACTCTTTGTACTCAAAATAATTTGAACAAGGGCAAAGAAGCATTTTACTTACATGTGTAAACATTAAGAGGAAAATAAAACAGAGATGGTTCAGATAGTTGCTGAGATGTTTTAATGATAATTGATTTGACTACCACTGAAGCTTTAAGGTTACCATGTATAGGAATAGTCATGTTTTCACTTAGTATATTTGTTGGATAATAATGCTCTTGTGAAGTTAACTCTGACATTAACTTGGCAAGTTCTGAACTAAGACCTTTTAGCATTTTATTCCTAGATACTAAGACCAAATTGTTCTGAATTCCATACCCTACTGTGCAGATCTATTATTTATTTTTTTAAATATCAGAAACGATGTCATAACTCAAAGGACCCTTCCATGTAATAAATCTGAGTAAAAACTAATCAAATGAATAAATGGCAGCAGTAGACAGGAAATAGCTTCTCTTGTTTTCTCTGTTTTCCTTTCTCTTTAGGAAATAGTAAACTAAACCATAGCTACTTGTGGTCTTGTACTATAAGAACACATGTGGTCATACATTTTCATCCTATTAACAAATTTGTTGGCTCAGTGGGTAGAAAGTAAAGTCCTCTGTAAAGATCTCTTAATGCCTTGCATGGGGAGGGTCATTTGCTATATATAATCACAACCTAAAAATCTTGCTCTGAGATCTGATGGTGTCCATTGGCTGTCTTTAAATGGATACTGAAGGGGCGCCTGGGTGGCTCAGTTAGTTAAGCGTCTGCTTTTGGCTCAGGTCATGATCTTGGGGTCTTGGGATCGAGCCCCACATCTGGCTCCTTGCTCAGAGGAGTCTGTTTTTCCCTTTCCCTCTGTTCCTCCCCCCTGCTTGTGCTCTCTCTCTCTTTCCGCACCCCCACAAATAAATAAATAAAAAATCTTAAAAAAAAAATGGATACTGAAGAGCAGACTTAAGCAGCCCTAGTAACACATAAGATCACTTGGAGCTTACAAAAAATACAGATGCCTGCGCCCATCCACAAAATTTCTGAGTTAATTAGTTTGGGGTGGGGTCCCAGATCTTGTATTTAAAACAAAAGTCAACAAAAAATAAATCCTCCTAGGGTAATTCTAATGGGCCATGACTAAGAACCATAGAGAATCCCAACACCAGTGCAAGGATAATAACGAATTTGTTTTTAGATAACAGTACACAGCCCACTCTCGGTCTTCAATGGAAAATTTACTTTAGTCCAGGTGTGGACAGGAGCATGGATTAGCAGCTGCCATAGCCCTCTCCTTGATTGCATTGTCTAAGCAGTCACTTATAGGGAGTGTTCTATGGGCCATGGAGTCTTGAGATGCTGATAATTTTCTGGGTTAAAGCCAATGGAAGTTGATAATTGAACAACAAATTACATATGCTAACTCTGAAGGTAGAGTCTGTAAACAGTGGCAGCCTTATACATATCTGAGCATTCTGAGCTAAAGTTCATCAAAAGAGAGACTTACTTGCTCAGCATCACTCCTTCTGCTTCTTCTAAATCCATGAACGCCATGTCTCCACCACCAAATCACTATAGTTCATTGTAAACAGAAAGAGGCATTTTGCATTAGAAATGGCAAATTACTTCTCTTGGAAATTAATCAGCTTAAGCCTATGTGATTTTTTTTTTTTCATTTTCTTCATCCTCACTTTTACAGGGTGAATTTTTGTCCTTTTAATAAAAGCACTTTTATTTTTCTTAAATCTTTCTATCATAATGTCAGTCCTCTATTGTTTTGCCATTTTCTTTTGCTATCATATTCTGTTTTCTTCATTTAATCCTATTTCTTTTTACCCTTTACAATTAAAAAAATTATCTAACACTAGAATAGCATGTCCTTCTTCATTTTTTCCCAGTTTTTGATTTATGTTTGGTTGCCAACCCCTTTTCTCAGTCTCTCTCTTTCTTACTAACTGCCCTTCCTTAACCTTCTGTTGATGTTTCATTCCTATCACTTGCTGTCAATGGCCATATAAACCCATTTCTTTCCATTCCATTTATCTCTGTAGCTCCATGTGCATTTTTAGGGTCCTACTACTAAAAGCTTAAAGCTCTATGTGAAAAATAGAAAGGTGGCTTTCCCAATTTAAATCCTATTTTCTCTCCCCTCCTATAGCTGTTCCATATCTATTCATCCTTTCCTGATGTTTCCCCCAGTCTGACCCCCACCTGCACCCTCTTCCTCTGTCACTCCTCATTTGATGCCCATGTCTTCTTTCTAACCCCATTTGCACTCTGATTTTGCATCCAAGGATCTCCACAAGATAAAGGATGGAGTTCTATCGGGAACCAGATTGTGTCTCAGAAACTTTCTGCACATTTACTGAAATGGGATTAGGGGCTTTGATCCAGAAATATTCTTAGGCAGGCTTTCAGCTCTGGCACAACTTTGCACACCTTGGAGGAGGGTTGGGGCCTACTCTGAGGGACAAGGACAGGGATGTCTTTAAGGCCTTACGTGGCCCTTTCCACTTCAAAGGTCAGGAAAAGTAGGCATCACCGACCAAGGCTGGAAAACCAGGCCAGGGGGATGCCTGGAGCCCTTTACTGCAGCATTTCTGGCAAGAGAGCTGTTGCGCGGTGGGCCACGGGGCTCCAGGCGTACAGGGGCCAAGGTGGGGGGCCAGTGAGGCCCCAGGATTCATGGGCCATCTTTGGGAGGAGGCTCACCTCTAAAGAGGGGAGGCAGGCCCGAGGCGGGGTGTTCCCCGGGGAAGCGGGGCGCGGCCCTAGGGGCGAGGCGACGCCACGCCACCCCGGCGGCGCCGAGGGCCGGAGGCACAGTCCCTTCCCAGGAGGAAAGGCGAGTCGCTCTGGGTTGCTCAGACAGAAGGTCGAGGGAACAGCGCGTTTGTCCCTCGCCAGCCATTCCTCTGGGAGCAGGGCGGGGGGCCGGGGGCGACACCCCAGGGAGTAGGTCTGAGGGCTGCAGAGATCAATTCAGGGTACTGGCGCGGGGTCACAGACAGGCAAGGAGCCGGAGAGGGGGCTGGTGGGGGCTCCCACGAAGGCTGGGGCTGTAGGTCTGTGTACTCGGCGGGGCGCCCCGAAGTCTGGGGCCTCCACAGCTCCAGCTCCGCCAGCTCCTACCAGCGACTCCAGGCCGCACTTTCCCCTCCTCCCGGCGCCTTCTCTCCAGTGAGGAGCCGAGCGCGGGCGGCGCGGGGGGAGGGGCGGCGGCGGAGAGAACAGCCAGTTGTTTAAAATCCTTCTAGAGCAGTTTCTAATTCCCCCCTTGCGCCCGGGTTCGGAGGGGGGAGGGGGGAAAGAGAGCGGGAGGAGGGAGGAGAACGGAGAGGGAAGGAGGGAGGGAACCCGGGAGGGAGGGAAGGAGGGAGGAGACTGCCGCTTAGACTGTAGCCGCCACCGCGCGCTTCGGAAGGCCGGAGGGAGGGGGAGGCCTGTCAGTCTCGCGCGTTGCCTGGGCGAAGGGGGCGGAGCTTTGGCGTGGGGCGGCCAATAGTGGGGGTGGCTGCGTGGGTCGCCATGGGGACGGGGCTGTTCCCGGGGAGGCTGTGATGGGTTGACAGGTGCGTGACAGTGGGAGCTGCTCTCGGCACAAGCATGTACGGCAAAGGCAAGAGTAACAGCAGCGCCGTCCCGTCCGACAGCCAGGCCCGGGAGAAGTAAGTGTCTCCGCTTCTCACCCACCTCCGCCTTCACACGCGCGCACACACACGCACGCACTCGCACACTCTCTCGGAGACACACAGACCCAGACACTCTCCGCCGGGGGAAAGCCGGGGGTGGGCTGGCAGGGGGAGGGGTACACAAGGTGGGGGCGTGCGGTGCGGGGAGCGGCTGTTTCCCAGGAGGTGCTCGCGCGGGGCGGGCGGCCTTGGGGGGCTGCTGGCGCGAGGGAGCGAGTGTGCTGGGGGGCGGTGGCGGTGCTGGTGCCAAGGATGGAAACTTGTTTGGGTGATTGGGGGAAATAACCCGCGGGTTCACCTCCTCACAAAGTAACTTTAGAGCTGGGGTCCGGGGCTGCGGGGACCCGGAGCGCTGCCGAGGGTTGCGGGCGGGGCGGAAGGGGGCAGCTGCGTGGAGGAGGGCTCGCGGTGGGACTATGGGTGTTTGGAGGGGCGGGCTGGGGTCGGGGCAGGCAGTGCGAGGGGCGCCGCCGCCGGGGCTCCAGCGCCTGGGGTTGGGGCCGGGATCGCCCGGCTAGGCAGGGCGGCGGTGCCGGGCGCGCGGCGGGCGGAAGCCGGGCGCGGAGCGGCCGAGCGGGGCCCCGCGGGGCGCGGAGACGCGCGCGGGGCGCGGAGGGCGTGTGCGGGCGTGTGCCGGGTGGGCGTCGGGGCTTTCTCCGGCCGGCGAAGCGACGCGGCGTTCGTGGTGCCCAGTGCCTCGCAGATCACGGGTGGTCGGCGCCAGTGGCGCCGCTGAAGTTTGGGAGTCTAAGAAAGACCGAGTTCCCGGGGAGGAAAAGTGTGCTGGCGAGAAGCGGGATCCGCTGGAGCAGGCTGGTGTTTCTGCCTCTCCGGCCGACCCAACTCCGCGGCGGCGGCTGGAGAACTTTTTTTGGAGACTAACTGCCTCCCAAACGTCGGGGGGCCGCGGCGGCCTCGGTGGCGGGCCGGGCGGCCCCCGCGGGGCGGTGGTCGTGGGGCGCGCGGAGTGGGAGTTGTGTGAGCTGCAGCGGCCGGCAGGAGGAAGGTTGTCTGGGGTGCGCTGGGAGCAGTGGTCCGAAAAGGCATTTGCCGGAAGGGGAGAAACGTTGAGGTGGGGAGATACAGGTGTTAACTCCGGTGGGAGCCCAGAGGAGGCAAGGGAGAAAAGAGCCCCTCCCGGCCCGGGATGCTACCGTCACGGCACACTGCGAAGCAGGGCTGTTTACCGCTATTCTTACGTACTTGTAACGGTGATTTGGTTGTTACTAAAAATGAGAGCGAATAGTGACTGTGACCACTGAGGAAGAACCCCTCTTTTCTGTGCAGCAGATCGGTGATTCCCAGTAACCACCTCCACTCTGAGGGTGAGGGTTATCCTTGTCATTGAACGCTCTCTGCCTTTCCGAGGGTGTTCAGACTGGGGTAAAGTCTGAGAGCATCTCTGAAGAGCTACTTTGGTTACCTTGCGCTTGGAAATAGCTTCGTAAATAAAAACCAAATACTCAGACGACCGAGTTTCCCTCCTTCCTTTAGGCAGTTAGTAGTCTTCTGAAAGTTTCTTGTGCCCTAGGGATGGGAACATTTCCTAATCTTCGTGTTGGCAGCAACACACAATTCCCATAAGATTTAGGGGTGGCAGGCCTTGATGTAGCAAAACAAACAACAAAATTAACGGAGAGATGCTGGTTTTGTTTTGTTTTTTTCCAGAGGTATTTTCTGAGGAGCTACATTTAGGAACTAGTTGATGTGCTGTGAAATATACAAAAGACAATAATAGAGCCTGGTTAAGAAACAAGTTACTAGAACTGAAGTTTTGAAATAACAGTCCAATTTTTGTGCATTAATCATTTGGTTGTAATATATCTGATAAGATTAAAAACAGGATGTTTTAATGATTACAGAGTATTGGGATTTCATATTACTGAGAGTGAAGGAATTGAAATGTATTGAGGCATTTGGGGGTGGTTGAATTTGAGAATCAAAGTAATTTTGGATTTTAGTTAGACTCCCAGGAATGGTTGAATCTAATCTGTATCCTGATAACTTTGTAAAAAAAATTTTTTTTAATTATCTGAGATAATAATGAGAATGTGATGTGTCTGTGGTGCTTTTTAGCCTAATCCTGTGATTCTGTCATGAAAACAAATAATTGCCACTTTTGCTGTCCAGTCTACCAAACTGAACACCAAGTAATATCTACTCTTGAAAGCAAAGTGGTGAGGGTTCTGCTAGATGGTGCTATTCGATTTAAATATATTTCTTCCATTCATTATAATTGGCAGCAGGAATCCTGGACTAGTTTGCCTTATGAACCTAAATACAGGTGAAGAGGCCACTTTTGGGGAATTGACAGTCATTGTTCTGGGTTAATTGTTGCGTTAATTTCTGGGTGAATGTTGTTTGAATCTAACAAACGTTGAGGTAGATTCTATTTTATAGAATAAACTTAGTTTCATTTTGATGGGAGAGTTGATTTGATCTCTCAGTTTTCCCCTTTACTATTCACTTGGGAGTTTATTGGCACTAATCTACAACAGTGCGCTAACTTCTGAGGATAGGAATCTTGAAGTTGTCTTTAAAGTGGATGTTACCAGATTTAAAAAAAAAAAAAAAATTAAGGTGGCATATTTTATAAGGTACCTGAGCAAAAAAGAATTCTCCCTTAGTAAGAAAGTTATAATTGTTCTGATCTTAAAAATCACAGAAATAACTTTTTTCAGTAATAAATATGTGTACGTATTTATTTTGTTTTAATAAAAACTTTCTGAAAAAAATGAGTTCTGAATAATAGCATGCTTATGAAAATACTGGTTTTATAATCTGTCAGGAAATGTGTTTTCTAATGAGTTCATGGCGGAGAGCTGACAAGTGCTTACCTGTATCTTTGCTTTCTCTTTCATTAATAACTTACTGTATGGAATACTTGAAATTAATTTGTAAGTTTTATATATTGGTTATAGTTTCAGTGTACAGTTCTGAGCATAAAAACGGCCAGAGTCAGGTTATTTGCTTATTTTGTTGTTTTAATTTTTCTTTTTTACGAGAGAGATGGGGGGAGGAGGGGCATAGGGAGAGGGAGAGAGAGAACCTTAAGTAGGCTTCACATCCAGCACAGAGCCCAATGCTGGACTCCCATCTGCAGACCCTGAGGTCATGACCTAAGCTGAAATGAGGAGTTGGATGCTTAACTGAGCCACCCAGGCGCCCCTATTTTGTTGTTTTAAAGTCCAGACGGATCAAGTCTATACAAAGAGTTGGATTAGTTTTAATTATAGAGGGAGTGATTGAAAACCCTTGGTGGGAGGTGGGATGTTTGCATAGAAATTTAAATTCTGATCCTATTAGGTCATTTCCCCCTTTAGCAGGTTTTCTTTGTAACACTGATCACAATTATAATTAAGTAACTGTGTAATTGCTTGTTTAATGTCTAGCTTCCTCTAAAATATAAGTTTTTTGAGGGCAAGGGATGATACTACTAATTTCCTCTCGGAGGTATCCCTGACATTAAGGACAGGGCCTTTAAATGTTGAAAGCACCAAATAAATACTGTTGAATAAATGAAGATGTTAGACTCAAAGGAATATTTTTTTCAGGGTGTGGAAAAAATTTTTTTTCTATGACCTCCAAAATGAGGACTTTGGAAGTTTGAGTTCCACATTCTCTAGCATAGTTGTATTTCAGCAATAGCCAATGACAACAAAACAGTAATTATTATTTGTCATTCTATATGCCAGCTACTGTGTTTGGCATTTTATGTATATTTTCTTTAATTTTCCCTACAGTTCTGTAACATAGTAATTTTTTTTCTCCATTAAAGAGATATGGAAACTAAAACTCAGACTAGTTAAGTAACTCAGCCAGGGACACATTGCTAGCTGGGTTTCCAACAAAGATTTCTCTACCTTTAGAACCTCTGGTTAAAACTGAAAGATGTATTTTTTTGGTATACCAGATTGCCTTCCTGATCTAGGGTAGGATACTACAGGTTTAGGGAATGGTATTACATAATCAGATATAACAGACTTTAAAGATTTGATGAATTCTTAACCCTTAGTGCACCTTGATACTTACACCTTCCAGTATATATATTTTTTAAGATTTTATTTATTTATTTGACAGAGAGAGACACAGTGAAAGAGGGAACACAAGCATGGGGAGTGGGAGAGGGAGAAGCAGGCCTCCCACCAGGTAGGGAGCCCGATGTGGGGCTCCATCCCAGGACCCCAGGACCACGACCCAAACCAAAGGCAGACGCTTAATGACTGTGCCACCCAGGCGCCCCTGTACCTTACATTTTGACAGACTGCAGATTTGTGTGTGGTGTGGGTAAGGCATAGAAATTTTAGGAGTGAAAGTTCGAAGCCTAAAATAATGAAAAATACTTGTTTCTTCAGATTTTTTCTTGCAGGAATTTTGTTTGACCTCTTATGGTTTGAAATTAGATAGACATTGTAGCTGTGAACAGTTACTGTATGAAACGTTGCTTAACTTTAAGCCATACTGTATCCCACATTGCCACAGAAAGAATAACCGGCACCTATAAATACATGAGTGGTGATAATACTTTTATTAAACTAACTGCATATTTTAAAATTATATAATAGCACAGAAAGATGAATCTTCTATAAAGTTAAACATAAGATACACATACCAAACAGTGACATCATATTAAGTAAACTTGTGAGAAACTATGGAAATCAAACTGTGCATCTAACCTGGGGCTCTGAAAAGTAACTTTGGTTTTTCAGTCATGAATCTTTTAGTTGAATATACCGAGAAACAAATACCATATGCTCATTTTTAAGTGGTTAAGTCTAATGAACATTTAAATACTACTCCATATAATAGAGCAATTGTAGGGATTAGTATCTTCCAGCATCACCTTATTCCCCCCTTTTTTATTATTGTCACTCCCCTAAAAAAATTGTAAATTTTTTCTTCCTTCCTTTCTGAAGGAAATAAAGTTAAGACAAGTGAGGTAATGCAAATCTCTTCAGAAACTTGTTTGATGGGCA